AAAATAAGATAGCGTGACGAGCAGACGGTGTACCCTATCCGAAATTACTTTATGAGTTATACACTCCAGTCATAACTCAATGGATAATAATCGATTATTTTGAATTTTCGTGGTCTGTCTCAAAAAATTTCGATATTAATCGATTATAATCAAATAAAAATGGATTTTAATGAAACTATTTTTCTAATCAATGAAATCCGAATAAAATTACAAAATAATCGATTATAATCCAATGAAAATGGATTATAATCTTTATTTTTTTATGTCAATGTAATCCATTATAATCGATTATAATTCATTAAAAATGGATTGTATTCCTAATACTTCTTATGACAATATAATCCACTATAATCGATTATAATCGATTATAATGGATTTTTTGAGAGGTTATTCGTGAAATTTACAACTTTCATCAAATTTATCTCGTTTCTTGTTTAGTGCAGTTGCTATGTAATACTTTTCATAAAATGTTACATATCACGATAAATATAATATATATTGTGGTTTGAACGGTGTTTACCCCCCCCCCCCCCCCAGTTTACTTTACCCCCCTTCCCCCTGATTACTTTATCCCCCCCCCCCCCAGTTAACTTTACCCCCTTCCCCCTGTTTACTTCACACCCCCCATTTTTTTTAACTACCCCCTTTAAGCACAAAAGCCATTCGTTATTGTTATCCTATTTATTGGTAGATTTTGGGGGAGTGGGTTTATGATTGACAACCCCCTCTCTTTAATTGCGGGGAGTTAAAAATTACTTGAGGGGTGACGTTAGACATGGCATTTAATAAAAGACATGCATTCTTTTTGCAAATTTTCAGCAAAACTTGCAACAATTCTGCAAAAATAATCAAATTTAGTTCAAAAAATATAATGTATTATAATCGATTATAATGGACTATCTTGACAAAATTAGTCGATTTCAGTGCCAAAAATAATGGATTTTAATGGATTATAATGGATTTTTATTCTTCGAAAAAAAAATCAATTTTAATGACCACATAATCGGTTACGTGGTCTAAATTTGCCAGAATAATGGATGATAATGACAACATTTTAGACATTATTTTTCAATATAATCGATCGATTATTATCCATGGAATTCCGGTGCAAATTATGCGCCCATCCAGTGCACAGTTTGGCCTCGTGATGATTCAATTCGTAGTAATATCTCCAGTAGCCAAAAAATCTGTGCTTACGACTTTTTCTTTGTTCACAATTGTCTGCTACGTTTCGCGATGTATACTTAAGGATTTGCTTTAAAATTTCAGATAATGTTGTCTAATAATATCACGTTTCAAGCAAATCATTAAGTTTACAAAAGATAAGAGTGCGAAATGTATTGACACATATGAACAAAGATGGCGCTGATTTATAAAAAACAGAGCTGTTGAAAAAATTACTCGCATGTAAAACATAAGCACATTAAAAATGGATTAAAACCAGTTTTGTTATCAAAAAAAGTATGTAGATGAAAAAACAATTTCAAATTATGTTAAGTTAATCGAACTTGTTCTCACACATTTGGATCATTTTTAAATCAACCGCATATCAAAACGGAAAAAATTTTAATTTTTTTGTTCTAAATCGATTGAAGCTCATCTGTAAAGGTCTCTATACAGCTTTGTTTTGTCGAATTTTAATATGACTTACATAATTTTTAATCCATCTCTCTATTTTTAATATGATTTAGATAATTTTTAATCTATCTCTTTTCATACTTTTTTATAAAAATAGTACAAAAGTTTTTTGTATGTTTTTCACTTAGTGTTTTTTAAGCTGGTATTTGATCTGATACAAATTTTAAGATCAACTAAACTTAGCCTAATGAATTGTTTCACATTGTGTTTTTGAATTTGTTTTTTTTTTGCGGTACGTTTTCATTTCAGCTGATAATAATAGTCCTAAAATGAACATTTGAAAAAAGTTTACCAATCTCACCGCGGTAACTCTTGAATCACCAAATTTTCAGAGAATCCCCGGAAACTGTTAGTTTGCTGTGAGCACTTCTCCCAAAATTATTGTAAATTCAAAATTCCAATCAAATCGATTCAAATCGATCCAAAACTCTAATCGATTAGACACTTAAATTGGTCCAAACTCCCAGATGAATCAATTCCAATCGATTTAGAATCCATTTCAGTTTCTAAAGTGTGCATTGTTAGTCAGATTGGATCATTCAAAGTCGGTTGAAATGGATTTAAATCAATTCAAACGCCTTTTTTTTCAGTTCAGGTAGAAGACCGTAAATTTGAATTTTCTCGTTGCTAAACCAGTCAGAAAACTCAGATTTTTTGTGTACTGATTCGGCAGCTTTTTACTAGACAGACTGGACATCATGGTTTTATTTGGGTTTGACTCTCGTCCGCTAGTGGTACGCTGATTTAGTCTTCAGCTGCTTCGACCGAAACCTTCTGCTCGCTACTTCTTACTAGCATTTTAGGTGTGTTGGATGTTTTTCCTAATTGATCCTTATTGTAACCCTGGGTTACTGTCTCAGCACAAGTTCTGCTAGCAATTGCGCATTCCCAGTTTGAGTGGACGCTGCGTTAATGACGATGAGAAGAAAGCAAGGCATGAACATTAATTTAGTTTTAGAGGCAAGAAATGGATGTGGGGGGGGGGGGGGGGGAGGGGGAGGAGGCTATGACGAATTTTTGTCGAGGAACTAACCTCGACAATGACTTCGTCATAGCCTATGTTTTTTTTTGAAGAGTTGGCTTCTTATGTTTGTTGAGGTTGGGCGGTTGATTTGGTAACCTAGGCTTGTCAATGCTTGTTGAAGTTTGGTTTATCAGAAGAGCTGATTTTATTTTTTCTCTCTCTACTTCAGACTTTTTTGTATTTCTGCTTTCCCGTTTTTTTCAACAAGCTTCGTGAAATATTCCCCATAAATATATTGCGAGCATGATTTTGGCCGTAGAAGGTGTGGTGTGGATACTTTTACACCACAAAATTTAGAGAACCGAAAGAAATGAAAACAGGGAATTTTGTACCTTAAAACTGAAATTTGTCATGGCCTAATTAGTTCCTACGTCAGCTGTTGCTATAACAATCAAACAATGTGAACTGACTTTTTACTTCTAAAACTTTGCAGATTGGATAAAAAGGATAATAGCCGTCCTATACGGGCAAAAATTAATCCAAGCTAAGATTTTGAAACTTGAAGCCCATTGAGAGCCAGCAAATTTTGAAGTACAAAGTTGAATCAAAATTGAAACAAAATTAAACGATTCCTTTTATGGTTGGGGTGGTTTTTATAATGTCAATTTTCGAACTTTTAACTGAGCATTTTTAGACAATTTTTCTCTTTACCATCTGAAAAATATTTTTGTTCTGAGCTCAAATTCAAAAAGATATTTCACCTGTGATCAGGTTTCATAAAATTATAAGAGTTTGAAATTGCTACTTTGGCTAGTTGCGAATAATTAACACACGATATATTTGCGTGCTTATACGCGTGAGCGGCGGGTTAAAGTGATCCCAATTAAACTGAGATAAGTCGTTTCCTCGTATTATTTGGATACAAGACTTTAGATGCATCTCTTTAAGCGGGTGGTCGATCAACCGAAAAAAAAAGATAACTCTTTTCTTTTTTTATTACAATGTCAATTTTTCAACCAATTTTATTTTGAATTGGCCTTAAAGTGCAGTCGGAACATTCAGGGATTCTCATTCATAACAAATGCGATTAACATTTTGACCGACTCGACCAAAAAATGATATTTTTTGACCATCTCAACCCAGGCTCGATATGCTTCGACCGACTCGATCCATGCAGTTTACCTTTCGACTATTTTCGACTGAGGAAGGACATTTCGACCAAGTTCGACCGAAGAAAAACGTTGCGACTGAATTTGACCGAGGATTTTTTTGAACGCGATGAATGTCGACAAAGAAAAAACATATCGAATGTGTTTTTGAAACCATAAGCAGGCCTTCTCTTGGCGGTTCTATATACTAATAGCAAATATGCTGCTCTAGCTAACTGTATTTTAAAAGTCTTAAGAATTACAAAAATACACAGGTTCGCGTTCTTGGTGCGTTTTTGTTTGTGTTTGACTTCATGTTTCGACTTCGTGTTGGTTTTTATGTTTCGACCAACTCGACTTTATGTTTTGACTTTGTGTTCGACTTTATTGTCTTGTTACCGTGTATAATTGTTCCGTCATTGTTGCGTAACTCACTACAAGGTTGATAACTACACTTAAGTGAGCAATAGAATTCTTTTTTTTTTTCAAAAATTTTGGTTAAAAACCCATTTTGTACATATGTGTGGTGCGATGATGAGCTAGTTCTGCTATCCGTGCCTTTCCACCCATCATTTCGTTCAAAAGTCTACAGTGATGTGAGGTCATGCATCACGTGTACTTGTTGATTGATTCTGATGCATCAGCTGGCATAGCAGCCCAGAACAATATACAAACACCTAATCGCTCAGCTTCCTATTCTGTTCTGACCTCCTTTGCCGAAGAGTGGGAAACCATTTTGCATTCAGGTCCCTTTTCTCCAACTCATTTTGACTAACTCAAAAAATGCCCCAAGGGGGGTCCGTTTTCAAGCATTTTTGGCTGTGATTTGGTTTCTAAAACTTTTTTCAAATCTGTCATTGGTGAAAATGAATGATTTGGCGCTCTTTGATCCCTGGACCAGTTCGCTGGACCAGCAGTAACTATCTTTGGCAGGTCATCCCACTTTCACAATCCCGGAAGATGGAAAAAGTTTCCGGTTCATTTATGATACACTCTTATTTATAACTTTTAAGTTGGACAAGCACATGATGAGCTATGTTGACTACTTTTGGCATTTAGCAGCTGTAAAGTAGTCGTGGCCTCGTTCAATTTATTTTGCTTCGCTTTCCAATCGTGTCATTTTTGTTTGCAAGCAACGGCCATGGAACAAATGTAAATAGCATTTTGAAGTTTGCTGTTTTACAATTTGCGAAAGCAAATTTGAACTTAACCTGACAAATATTATATCTCCCATTTTGTGCTCCTTAATTGGAAGTAATCATTGCATTAGATACACAAACAAAAACTTTGAAACTCAGTCATCTGTTCTGTAGATCAACTTTCCGCCTCATTTTGCCCAAACTCAAATTTGAATAAGACGTTGCAAAACGATTGGGATGGAATCTACCATGCAAATTTTGGTGCTGTCATTTTTTGGTAAGTAGCGACCCCTTCCAAATGGCAAGGGGGCATATTCGTTACATCTGGGAGCAACATGAAATGTGCGTAAAGAAGCTATCAATGCGATTTTTGGAAATTTTTCGAGACCAGGTTTGAATAGACAGAGATTAGTTGCTTTGACTTATCGACCAGCGAATATGTGAACTTTTTTCAGTATAAAAAATAATATAAGTCTGAGATAAAAGCGTCTTCGGTCTTCGATTACCAATAAAAGACTTGTTGTTCGAAAACTGAGGGTGTGAAAGAATTTTGGAATCGTGTTTTTTTCATGAACCAAATCAACGTCGAGCAAGATTAAGAGGTAAATCATATTAAATCAGGGGCGTATTTAGGGAAGGGGCTGCAGTCGATTCCCCCCTTTGTACTATTTTGAAATATCCATTTTGGGTGACGGACCCTAAAATTTTTCTCAAAGGGCCTTCGGCGCCATTATATACTAATTTTGAGTGAAGAGCTTGCGCCAAAAAAACGCAACTTTTTTTGGTCAAAATCTTCCAAAAAATGTCTTGTGGCGCAGCTTTGTGGCGTTTTTTTTTCAAAATTTTGCCTGCCGCGCTGAAAATTTGGTCAAAAAAAGGACTTTTAGTGCGCTTTGGGAGAACTCGGAAAATAAATTTGGTCGACCTAAAAAAGTCAACAAAATTTTGAAACTTTTTTGCAAATCCACCCCCCCCCCCTATTTTTTATTCATATTTTCCCCCTTTATCTTCATCAACGTTTTCTTTTCGCGATTACTGGGATTTGACTTGAAAAAATTAAAAAGTATGAAGAGCCATCCTCCATTTTTCATTTTTTGTTCAAACATTGTTCCAAAAAATCGTTCGACAATTACGTCAGTAAAAAAAACTTAATGATTTGTTCTAAAACTTAATTAACATGTTATTTACTAAATTCTGAAGCTTTTATAGGCGTAGCCTGTCCTCGGAACATTCTGTGCTACTTGCGCAGCAAGCGTGTCCTTGTTTTTCAGCGCTGTTTTTAACTTGACATTTTTGCTTTCCTTAGTCGTCGCTGTAGTATCTCAAACGTGGCTGGGCACAGCTGTTTCTGACGAAACCGAAGGCGACAACTCCGAACATGACTCATCCCCATTCGACGACATAGACCCCAGCTCGGATTTGTACAAAAAACTCAAGGAACAGTCTGAGAAATTCATTCCTGGGCGATCATTCGACGAAGCCAACTTTGACGATGAACACTTTGCTAATTATGATCCTTACGTTGACGGAAGGTACCCTGCCGAAGCTGACCGCTTCTTCGACCCAGATCGATACCCTGCCAAAGGTCATTACGGGGCAAAGTATGATGATTCATACGAGCCATATGCACCGTATGACTATAACTATGATTCACGCGGTCCATACCCAGGAGGTCTGAGCAGCAACCCGTATCATTCTTCGTCGCCTTGCTCAAACCTTCCTGGTGGATTGACTCGAATGGCCACAGGTGTCGACATCACCAAGTTGGAACTCTTTAACATCGAATCAAATCAACCCGGAGGCTTCAAGGGTCCCATTATAGACTTCTCGTGCGAAGAGGGTAAAATGTGGACCAACTCCTATAATTCCAGAACATACCAGGTTCCCGATGAGATCTGGAAGATTGACAACGTTCCAGGGGAGTCTATCAACCGCGTTGCAACTGTGTTTCGGTCGTATGAGGAAATTAAACAGTATCTTCTAGAAATGACTGGTCTAGAGGAGAAAAACGGAATGTTTTCTCTGAGCAAAAGTTTCAGCGAGCTTACCAAAGAAGTTGAGCTAGACTCTAAAATGATCGTCGATGTCACTTCTCATTTGTTCAACACGGAAATTATGATGGAACCGCATCAGACAATTCCACTGGGATTCCATGTCGAGAGCTTCTTGGCAACTCTTGCCGACGATTACGAAGACGAGCCAGAAGGGTATGAAGAATTCATAGAGACGTTCGGAACCCATTACTACTCCTCCGCAACGGTCGGACCCTTCATCCGAAATCAGTTCTCAGTTTCGGAAAAGTATTATTTGGAACACAATGAGGCGAACATCAAGCAAGAGAGTTTGAATTGGTTCACGAACTGGTATGATTCTCATGCTAATAAAAAGACGGCTAAACTGAACATCGATAAGAATTTCGAAGCGAGTACAGTTTTAAGAGCGGAGATTTACGGAGGACAGAGTGAAATCTTTGAAGACAAAGGAGTTGACGGCTGGTTGGAAACAGCGGTTGATGTGCCCACAATTTTCAAAGGAAAACTTACACCAATTTCCAACCTAATTGACGACCCCAGGATCAAAGCGTCCATGGAACGGGCTGTTCAAATTCACCTGGACCGCGCATTTTTAACTGAACTAAAAGAGGGTCTGGAAATAACTGAGAAAAAGTACCAAAAGGGAAAAATTCAGAACTTAGTCAAGATCCACGAGGAAGTTCAAAAAATGGCCAAGAGTAAAGTTTTGGATCACGATTTGTTGACAATGTGGGGCAAAACTGTCAAGTCCAGTTTGGCGGTTCCCAAATGGTGGCAACAAACTTACCTTTGCTACAAGTACAGCAACGATGTGCAGAATAAATATTGTAGTGGACCTACTCCGACGTGCGCCCCTGTGAACCAATTCACGGAATTGTACCAGGCAAGTCCTCTTTTGCCCAACCAATTATTGTTTAAGGGTCTTCTAGCAACTCGTATTGCTTCTTCAAGTCTTTAGTTTACTCTTTGGTCTGAAGATTTGAAGTTTTGAGCCCCCCTCCCCCTCGCCACACAAAACCATATGCTACTTTGACATGTAAATAGTTTGTTCACTTTGTCTGATTGTAAGCACACACAAGAGATTTTGACGGATTATCTAAACGAAGCTTCAATTTTCCAATTCTTGAAGGTTACTTACAAGAAGCAGCGAAAAAAGTAAATGACTATTGTAAAAAATCATATTGTAAATGGAAAAAGAAAAACAATTGAAAGTGTTTTTTTTAGGTCGACCAATTTGATTTTCCGAGCTCTTCGAAAATTACAAGGACCCTATTTTGTCAAAGGTTTCTGCGCGATAGGCAAACTTTTGAAAAAAAAACGGGCTTAAAATGACGTTTTGAGCACTTTCAAAAATATTTGACTTAAGAATTGCTTTTATATTGGCGCCGAAAGCGCCTTTAGAAAACTTTTGATGTTGGCTAGTCAAAAATGGATCTTGTAAACTTAAATCAAAGGGAGGACCCTTTGGAAAAACTTAGCAACCAGAAACGTGGGGAGGGGAGCTGTCAACTGTTTCAAACTAAGTAAATACGATAGAAAAAAGTATCATAGGGGAGTACCATTTATGCTCAGTCAGTGAGCTGCGTCTATATGAAACACAAAATATTTTGGCCAACATATTACGTCGTTCATTGTCATCATCATCATCATCATCATCCTTGAGTTTTACACCATTTTCTGGTTTTCGACGATAATTTATTGTTCAGTTCTGATGTTGTCGAACCCAGTAGAGAAAAGAAGTCGTCTGAAGCTACTTATATCTTGCACAGAGCCTGACACGGACGTTGTTCCATCTCTGTAAGAAGTATTTTGCCCAAGAAATATGCTGAAATATGCACAAAGCCCGAGGAGGCTTTTGTTGCCACACAGAAGAGCAGGAACTTGCCCAGCCCAGTAATAATGTGATTTGAGGTCAAAACCTAAGACGACCAATGTTGCATTACTGAATTGAATAGCTAGAAAAACCTAAGGCGGTACTTTGAGAGCAAACAGGTGTTTTGAAAGACTTGAATGCGGCCATTTCAATTTAAGAAAGAATAAGTACATTTAGAAGTTCGAAGCCATAAAGGAGCTAATCATGATAATGAACAAATATAGAGCATTTCCAAGTTCAATTTTTAACACAGATAACTAATGACAAACGTTTAGAAGATAAAAAAGATCAGAAACTGATAACAAGGTCGAATATTTAACAGCAACAAGAGGCTTTAAGCGGCAATCACTCACAAAAATGAATTCAGCAAATTACAAGTAGAATATACGCAAGAAAATGATTTAAATAGTTACATATATAACAAGACTGCTCGTATCAGGGCAAAGCCCTGAATTTTCCGACTGCTTTTTAAGGTTTATGGAGCAGCAGTAATAACTTAAAAAAATAAATGTAATAAAATAAAATTGAAAAAACATTTTTTCTAAAATTTGAAATTTTTTAAATGAAAATCATCCCCCCACACGCCATATAAGGTGCAAAAGAATAGATTTTGCTCCTTGTAACAAATAAATTATAGCAAATAAGCTTCGTTAAATCAATTTGGAACAATTTCTAAGACGGATTAACTCTCCGCTTACCCGCTTACGCGTTAATAGCGCGAAATATATCGCGCGTTAATTGTCCCAAATTGGTCAAAATGGCAATCTTTAAACTCCCATAACTTTACGAAAAAAGATCACAGGTGACATATCTTTTCAAATTTGAGCTCAAGACAACAATACATTTCGAATGATAAAAAAAATTCTGTCAAAAGTGGCTAGTTAAAAAGTCGAAATTTGTCTGAAGAAAAAAAAAACCCACACCGAGCACAAATATTTCGTTACTTTCGTATCGAAAGTCGAAACAACAATGAAAAACTTTTTATCTAGTTGATGATGCTAACCTAAAAAAGTGACTAAAAACTCAGAAAACTAGCCAAACTATGACTCGGAAACGACTTAAAACACGAATTGAATTTTTTCAATTCTTAAGAGAATTTTTGAAAGTTTAAAAATCTTGACTTTAAAAGTCTCAATAATTAATTTCACACAACTAAATGACTTTACCTTTGTCTTAATGCTTGAGTGTAGAGAAATGAGTTTATTTGGTGAATTGCAAGACAAAGAAATAAAAAAGAAAAAGCAAAAAAAAAAAAAAATCTGGTTCCCGGGTCGAGATCCCGCTCTAAAACCGCTCAAGATTTGAGCGGTTTGAGCGGTTTTCCAGCAAGATTTGAGCGGTTTGAGCGGTTTGGGCGGTTTGGGCGGTTTGGGCGGTTTTTTTGGAAAAGCCGCTCAAACCGCTCAAATCTTGCTTAAAAAACCGCTCAAATCATGCTTAAAAAACCGCTCAAAAACCGCTCATTTCTTGCGGTGATTTTTGAACGGTTTTTCAAGCAAGATTTGAGCGGTTTTTGAGCGGTTTTTGAGCGGTCTTCCCGGGTCGAGGTCCCAGACTCAACGTTTCGCTTCTCTGCAAAACTGGAACGAACACGTCCATCCAGGGGCGACCAATATGTAGTAATTTTCCAAAAAAAAAACCCAAAAACAGCATTTTTGACCAGTATATTTGTTGTGCATGTCTAAAACATTGAACATATTCAGTAGAACAAATACAGCGAATATTAAGCTTCCATTAAGTCCGCATAGACTAACGGATAAGGCGTCTGACTTCGGATCAGAAGATTGGGGGTTCGAATCCCTCTGTGGTCGACTTTTTATTATTAAATCTTGCGCCGTTTTTGAGCGATTTTTTTAGATAAACCGCTCAAAACCGTTCAAATCTTGCGCGGTTTTCGAGCGTTTTTTTTAGATAAGCCGTTCAAAAACCGCTCAAACCGCTCCTTTTGAAGCAAGATTTTGAGCGTAATTGTCTAAATAAACCGCTCAAACCGCTCAAATCTTGCTTCAAATTAGGTGAAAAATCTCGACTCGGGTTTCTATGAACAAGTTTATGATTTTTCAATGAGGCCCCAACGGGCCATTCTGCTTAACTCGAGTGCTCTCTTCAAGTGCTCTCTCATACAATTTGTTCACATTCAGGATTGGTCGAGGAAAGCGGGCGGGTGTCACATGCAGTGGGGTTTGTTCACACACCCCGAGGCAGATGATTGGTTCAAAAATGTGGAGTTCTGTTTCCGCTTCTCGTCCGAAGGAGACGTCAGTCAGTGTGGGGATGGAAAGGCTAAGGAGATCTGCACGAAAGTGAACCACTACAGTCCAGAGTACTATGATCACACCGACAGAAGGTGTGAACCGGTTTTCATTTCGAGGCCAAACTGTGCACTGGATAGGCGCACAATTTAGTGTTTGTATGTCTCTAGAATCCAGAGACAAATCTTTAAACATTAAGTTTTGTCGGAGCGATCAAAGAAAAATTAAAGACCAAAAGCAGAAAAGAGAGCGTGTCTTGGTCGCGGAATTCACTTGCTTTGGCCTCAAACCGTTTAAAAATTAATTGGGCGCAATTCAATTTGGCAAATGAGATGAGACTTTATTGCCATATCTCAATAAGTAATTTGAGATTTAGTACACCCTGTAGTTTGTCACGCAGCCTATTTTCGGCTGGAAAGGCTCATATTTAAAGTTGATCCTCCAAAAATGTGGAAAACAATAGGGTCTTTGTATCATTTTTAAGGGCCCGGAAAATCTATTTGGCCGACCTAAGAATGTCGACTAAAAACTCTAAATATTTTGAAATGACCTCATCAAATAATCTTTGAGCTGCCCGATCATACCTGATTGAAAGATTTTCTAAACAAAGACTTTCAAAATTGACGAACTTTGCTGACACTAATGAAATATCCCAAAGATTGCTCATTTCATAGCAAAAAAAAGAAGACTTCATAACATGAAAATAGTTTCCCTTACGCAAACTTTCTTGCACCCTGTTGGATCTTTTTTTCCGTCCACTGTTTGTTTGCATCCAGAGTTTTTTTTGCATCCAGTGTTTTTTTTTGCATGCAGGAAAGGAGGCTGTCAAATGCAGTGGAAGATATACGCCAAAAACACAGACCTCATTCCTGCCTGGTTCGCCAACACTAAACTGTGCTACATGTACAAGGTAAGTCATTTCATCTCATCCATAACCGCAATCTGGTAGGGGCGTAATAGCGGAATTTGAAGTGTTTTCGAAAGTTTCATAGTATTCGCTTGGTGATTATTAACTTTGCATTTACCGTCTACCAGACACATTGTGGCAGATATCAAAGAGAAAAGAAAGCTTTTTTGAAAAAATTGTTCATGACACTGTTTGTTTTAAGTTATGAAGAGTGATTTACAGATGAATCCTAGCTTTTCGTATATCCATATTCTTCAGGAGTGGAAAATATGGATAGTATATCAATATTTTTTCTAGGAATTTCCTAGGGGGTTTGGAAATTGCTTTTCGCCTTTCTCAGCGATCCCAGAACACTATAAAGAACCAATTTTGAGTAAAATTTTTTGCCTAAAAAACAGGTCAAAAAGGCCGTTCTTGGGTACTTTTTCAAAAATTATGACCAAAAAATTGCGTTTTTTGGTGGCGCACGCTCGCCCTTTAGGTTTGTATGTCATAAATCAACACAAAAGGGGAGACCCTTTGGTTGGCGAGGGTTTGAATCTCTGAAGCAGATCTTCCTGACCCCATCACACCCCCTCCTAAATCCGCCCTTCGTATGTGTTTCTAAAAACCTGTCGCAATTCGCACAGGCACACATCAAAGGGAAGTCGAACCCGCGTGAGCTGAAGAGAGTGTGTTCATTCGTGAACGAATACACCCCCGCCTATTTGGATGACTCACACTTCCACACCTACCTGCGCTACACAGAGAACTTCATCCAGTGGGGTTTGACTGATGTCCTCGGATGAAAGCGGAAGACACAAACTCAATATAACTGCAGCAAAAAAAAATATTATATTGGATTTAAAATAGAATTGAGTTCTCGAAGTCTAATTATAATCTATTCTAATGGCACTTTTTTTGTAGTGCACAGAATTGTGTTCACTCGCTTCTGGATTCCACAGACACATTTTTGTTCCGACTTTGGAAGACTGTATATCAAACAAAATGAAAACCATGCTCATCAATGGCCTGGTCTTAAGTCATCTGCAGTATTCGGCGGTGATCCTGGCAACAATAGACATAAATCTTATGAGAACATGCAAAAAAAACAATTAAATTGGGCCGTCAAAGCCTGCTCTTATGAACGCAATTTTTTTTCTTCTGATGAACTTGAAGCAAATGTTCTTAAATAGTCTTCTTGAAACCTAGAATAACAACATAGAATATCAAAAAATTGTAGACAAATTAAGTCTCAGCAAAAACCGGCCTTAAACCGGAAAAGTGTCTAATCTTACCAAACTCAGGATTTTTTACTATCTTTGAACTAAGAAGCTCTTCTTCATCAAACGCCCTCACGGCAAGATAATTGATAAAAAGTGTTACTAGGAAAGGATTTCTGCTACCTATAAACATCCCACTCAAATACTTAAGCGACTTTGATTCTACGAATAAACCATCAACTAAGATCAGATACTACATTTGTTTGATCATTGTAAGAAGGACCCATGCTAAATGGCTGATGACAAAGTATGTCGAAAAGATTTTAGATTCATCTAATGAATGTCCAATTTTGATAATATTATTCACTACAATAAAACTGAGCACTGCCTGTTTTTGTGTCATTTCTATAACTCTAACACACAGAGGCGGATCTTGGATTTTTTCGAGGGGGGGGGGGGGGGGGATCGCATTTTCAAAAAAAAAATTTGAAGATTTTGAAGACCTTTTGTTTTGCCCCAATTTTGGCAAAATTTTCTGGGCCGCTGGCAAATTAAAAAAAACAGTCAAAACAGGCAATTTTAGGCACTTTTTGGAAAATTTTGACTAAAAAAATTGCGTTTTTTTGGCGCGCGCTCCCCTCAAAATTAGTAAATATTGGTGCCAAATTCGCCTTTAGAAAAATTTTAGGGTCGGTCAGCCAAAAATGGATTTCTTAAAAAGTACCAAAGGGGGAACCTTTGTGTCGACAGGTGGTCGAATCCCTGAGGGGGGGGGGGGCGGGCTTCCGCCTTCCCCCTCCCCCCCTAAATCCGCCCCTGCCAACACACCAACGAGATATTTAGTGTTTGTTTTATTTTTTAACTTACCAAATTTCGTTCCTCACAGTCTAAAAACACCAAATTTTGAATTTCGTGGCATGAAATTTACGAGGGATAGAGCGAAGTAATTTTTTTTATTTGATTAATTTTTCAACGAAAAGTTTTCAAATTAACCTTAAAGTGCAATCGGAACATTCAACACTTTGCCTTGAACTATGATCACTTTTTTCTAATTGTTTATTAATTCTCTTCAAAAAGAATAGTCTTAAGCTCAAGACTTTCGAAACCTTGATAGAACAGAACAACAGAACCAAACTATGGCGGCTACCATCTGGTGCAATTTGTTATCGAAAACTCTCAAGTTGAGGATTTATGTCCATAATGATATCAATCAGCGTAAAAAAGCCCAGAGGACTCAAAATTGTCCACGGATGATCGGGTCCCGACCAAACCATCTTTTTCAGAGTTTATCTCCATTTAATAGGCAACGGAAATTGATAATGAGGAGTCACACATTCCTTCTTCGGCAACAAAAAAAAACAAAAAAAAACACTTTTTATGGAAGCGTGGTGCACAAATTTCTTCTACCAAAGAAAGTTTTGAGTCTCTTCAGGCAAACATCGGCGAAGGTTAACAAAAATTGTTTCTATGAAGGCATCGGTTGACAAGGTTCCGTGGAGTCAGTGCCTTCTTGGGGACTAGGACTTGATGTTAAGCCTCAACAACCTTGAAGAGGCACTTAGCATAGTAGTAAGGTCTTCACTTTGAGAACTTCATAAGGTGCCCACTCTCATTTGTTCATGACGATTTCTCTGGAAATTTCAAAACGGAAGTTTCTTTGAACTGGAAGATCTATTATTTTCGACGTTTGCCACACACTTTTGCTACATATTGAGGGAAGTATGGCGCAACCTCCGTCTGCACAATTGGTCTTTCGCTCGTTTTATCATAATTTATATTCACCTTTCCAAAATGCGCTCAGCAGCCAACGCCACCGAAAATCACTAATGACCTGCTAAGACCATATTAAAAAAGTGTTTGAGTCGACGCTTTCTATTTCCCACTCTTATTTTTTTTCTGAAAAAACTTCCTCATTACTTGTTCGTTTTTGTGATTTTCTGAGAGGCGTGCGTTTGTTGTGGCCTGATGCATCTTAAATGGACTGGATATAAATGTTGCCGTTAATTTTTTTCTCTACTCACTCTGAGAGAAAAAGTAGCAGAAAAAGTAGTCTTGAATGTAAAGGAAAATCAGAAAAGTTTCGATAACTTTTACACTAATACCTTCTAATAGTACACTAATACCTTCTATTAGTGCCTCTTTTCTATCAAACAGCTCCTGAAAGCTGCAATTTGAAAAATTACTAAGACAAAACTGAATTTATAATCTTATGTAACAACCACAAAGATATAAAACCAAGAGGTTCAAGTTGCTGGACAGCTAATAAAAAAAAAGAACTATTATAACAATCTGATATGCCGGGTACATGTCAAACAGCTACTCTTGAAAAGAGCTTATAGACAGTCAGAGGCTGTATTCCAAACAAAATGAAAACCATGCTCATCAACGCCCTGTAACTAAGCCATCAGCAATTTTCGACGGTGATTCTGGCAACAAAAGACCAAAATCTTATCATAACTTATGAAAAACAACTGAGCCTGTTTTGATGAACACCAAATTGATTCTTCGGTTGTACTTTTTAAGAGTTTGTCTCAACTCTCCAGAAAAAGTAAATGGATAATGATGAGTCACACAATCCTTCTTTGTCAACGAAGCTACAAAAAACACATTTTAGGGAAGCGCGGTTTTCTTCTTGCTTCGAACTCTTCCAGAAACATGAAATTGATTTTTGATATTTGGTTCATCAACACCGGAAGATGTTCACTGAAGTTGTCTATAAGGAGACATGGGCTTTTTTCCTTATGGGAGTCCTTTTTCTACAAAAATGACCCAAGTAACGTTAATTTTTTTGCTCCTTTCCGGAATCAGATACTTTCAAAAACTGCAAAAAAAAAATATTTCAAAATTTTGATGTTTTATCAAATATATTTTTTTTCATTATGGGAGTCCTTCTTATACAAAAATTGTTTTTCAGTTTGTTTATTTTACTATGCCTCTCAAATATGCCTTATCTTCAGTTTTTCATTCAGCTCTTTTTATCACACCACGCCGAAGAAATGACGCAAATTTGAAATAACATTTTTGTTCCAATTTTTAAGACTACGGTTGAAACGTTCTGTGGTACATTCTGTGATAATTGGCTATCCTTGCTGTATTTAGAAAGAAATGCATTTTCCCTTTATTTTTCAGTTTTTCGGTCACTCTGAGCGGTAACTGTCAACCTTGAGCGCAATCGAAAAATAATACAAATTTGTTCAAAGAATTCTCTTGGTTTTCCTGTAAACTGAGACAAGAAAATAAAGCACCAAATGATTAGTATTTGTGATTGTATAGGCAATATCATGATTTTACCCCAACTTTCAACTTTTGGCAGATGAAGTATGCCAATAGGAAATATTATTAACTACAAGAAATGACCCGCAATTTAATTGCAATATTGCAAAAATTTATCACACTATTGATGATATTTTGAATGTGACACAAAAATCTTTTTTACTGATGCAAAATGAATATCAAAAAAGAAGGCAGTGGTGGAAAAGAGTCGGCTGTTTTTCATGAAGCATAAAAATCTGTTTACAAGTCTGATGTTTTCTAAACTCTTTTCTGGGGACCAGCTATGTATTCATTTGGCTGTCTAGAGATGTATTCCCCAGAGTGTGACGTCATAGCGGTGTTTTTGACTGCAGAAACAGCGCCGGTGGACGAAGCGGTAGATGTTTTCTTCTTTGAAGCCACCGATGACTTCTTCGAGCCGGTGGTTGAAGTCTTTTTCACCACGCCTACTTTTGCCGCCGTCTTCTTAGACTTGCTTTTTTTCGTCATCTGAGAAAGAAGATGAGTAATTTTCAAGATACAATTTTTGACTCTTTTGCCTCCCCCGTCTGCGAATGAACTTTTTGTCTGATTGTTACAAAATTAGTTACGCGGACTGAGGAAGCCATATCAAACAAATTTTGTCCTCAATCTTAACCTTATAAAACCCCTCGGCTCTTTTTCCTTATCCCCCCACCTGCAAGTTTTTACATGTAAATTTGTTGACCTCTTTATCGGATTGTTATGAAAATTAACTTACAGACTAATAAAGCCACGACAAACATATTTGGTTTTCATAATCAACCTCGTAAAACCACTCGCTACACTACTATATGGAAGTTCGTGTGAGGTGGTGGGGAAAAGGAAAAAGAGCCAACCCCTCATTACACCATAAAAATGTATTTATTTGAGGTGGGGGAGTGGGAGACGGGAAAAATAGCGCAAAATATCTAGCCTTATGTTGAACCTTGTAAGACTACTCGTTGGGCTGTTTTTCCTTTTCCCCCCGACCCCACACAAACTTGAATTTATGGTCTAACGAGTGGTTTTACAAAATTAATTACGAGGACCAAATATGTTTGTCATGGCCTGACCTGTCAATTTTCATGACAATTAGACAATGTGAACAGTAATTTTAAATATAAAAAATTGCAGGTGGCGGGAGGGGAAGGATAAAGAGCCACTCGTTGCACCATAAATTTATCTGTATGATGTGAGGGAGGGTGACTGGGCTCTCTTTCTTCCTCCCACCCGCAAATTAGGCAAAACTTATCTTTACATTGTCCGATAGTTTTGAAAATTGGCACGTGGACTAATTAGGTCATGACAAACATATTTAGCCCCCATAAACAACCTTGTAAAACTGCTCGTTACACCATGAAATAGGAAAAAGAGCCCAGGAGGGGGTACAATTAAGGTAAGTGGGTGATT